GAGCACCGGGGACTGGGGGACCCCGGTGCACAGAGGGCACAGCCGTCCGGGCAGTCCTGGCAGGCCCCGGTCGGCCCGAGGAAGAGACCAGGCGGACAGGTGGCATCCTGCGAGAGAGGAGTGCATACGCCGGCGAGGGGCTCCAAAAAGAAGCCCGCCTCGCAGGCGGAGCACCGGGGCTCGAAAGACCCGATGGTCGGCGGAGCACAGGTGACACAGTGGCCGGGGCAGGGAATGCAGAGGCCAAGATCCAGGTCGGCGACGGAGCCAGGCGGACAGGTGGCCGCATGGCAAGTACCATCCGGGAGGAGCAGCCGCCCGGGAGGGCAAGCCCGACAGGCATGGGGGCTGCCGGGGGCCGTGCATTCGGCACAGGATTCATGGCAGGAAAGGCACCTGTCCGAGGGAGGGGTCGCAGTCGAGTCCAGAGCCATGCCACGGGGGCAGGCCGTGCAAAGGACCGGCTGCCCGGCCGCCTGGGGCAGGGACACCTGGCAGGCGGCACAGTCTGCATGGCATACACAGGCGCCGGTGGAATCCGCATGCAGGCCGGCCGGGCAGGCGACCCGGCACATGAAGTAGGAGCTGGGAATGTAGGTCAGGCAGCGGGGGTCGGTGCAGTCGGCGCTCGTGGGGCCATGGCACTTGCGGCAGTCGGGCGCGCAGGGGCGACACTCCGGGCCATAAGTGCCCCAGGGGCAGGCATTTGGGTTGAGCCTCAGCAGGAAGGCCAAGGTGTTGATGGCCCCGGCGGGGGAGGCCGCACGCATGAAGAGCAGCACCGAGGCGGCCCCCGAGGGAAGGGAGCCCGGCTCCGGGGTTTGGGTCACCGTCAGGCCCTGGGGAAGCAGATCGGGCACCGGGTTGAGGACCATCCTGAAGCTGGTCATATAGCAGATGCCCCGTGCGGAGGGGCAGTGGAGCAGGGCGACGCCGATGAACTGCGGATGGGCCACGACCAGGGCACTGGGATGCTCGAAGAGCCCTCGCAGGGGGACGGCCACCGCGTGCAGGCCGGCCGAGGAGGCTTCCTGACCGGGGGCCGGGGGAGCCACGCCGGGCACGGCGACCAGCAGGTTGCCGGCGCCGGAAATGTCCTGCGTGCGCCCCTGGGCGTCGGTGCCGGCGGAATAGTGCTTGGTAGCCCAATACACCCGGTCATCGAAGGCCATGAGGCCGGTCATGACCAGGTCCTCCGAGGGGAGGCCCGCGGCATGTCGGCTGCGCCCGGCGGCCGGCATGGCGACCATCGGCCAGTCCGCGCTGGGGGTGATGACCAGGCTCTTTGGCCCGTGATAGATGACATATGGGGGAGTGCGGAAGTCGAAGGCAGTGGCAAGGGCCTGCTCGGCAGGTGCCACATTCGGAATGGACGGGGCCGGGGGGTCCTTGGAGAGGAGGGGCACATTCCCGGCCGACTGGGCGATGGGCAGGGGCACGGGCCGGGCCGAGCTGGAGCGAGCCCGGGTGTCCTTGAGACGCAGCGAGTCCCATGGCTGGGCCATGAGCCCGGCCGTGGCACCGGCATAGTGGTAGATCCAGCGAATGGGCTGCGCGGTGGCCGGATCGCTGTGGACCAATGAGGCCAGCGAAGGACGACGGCCGGCATGGGGAACATGCGAGAGAAACCCATCGGCGTGGAGCTGGAGGAGGTGCTGATCGAGGGCCACCAGATCGTGGGCCAGCTTTCGACCGAGGAGGGCCATCGGCCCGGCGGAGGCCAGGGGCCCGGGCAGGGGGGCCCAGTGGGCCTGGAGCTGGCACCTATGGGTTGGGGTCGTGGTGGGCAGGGTGCATGACAGAACCAGGCGCCGGGGGGGGGCATTCTCCCGTTCGATGAGCACATTCATGAACACCTGGCCGGCGGGGCTACGAAGAGGACCCAGGAGGAGGACCTGCCGCGTGTGGCCGGTGATGGCCGGCAAATCCGGCAACGGGGTAACATGGAGAGTGGCCTCGGTGCCGGAGCCTGGGGCCAGCAGCTGGTGGGGGTCCAGCAGCCCGAAGGTACCATCATCCAGGACGGCCAGCAGGGCGCCGGTGGTGGATCCGGCGATGTCGGCGTTTGAGATGAACAACCGGCCGGCCTCCTGGTGCATTGGCATGGGGACCACAGCGACAGGGGTCCGATCGGAGGGGGCTGCCGATGTCGGCTGGGCGATGGCAAATTGGGGATGCGTCCAATCGACGTAGGAGAAGCACTCCTCGCCGGAGGCCCGGTATGGGCTCGGGCAGCGGGGCTCGCACGTGTCGGCCTTTTCGCCGGAGCGATTGGTATGGACGAGGAAAAACCCCGGCTTGCATACGACACACGCTCCAGCCAGGCAGGATTGGCAATTGGGAATCCGGCAAGTGTGGCACTCGTCTGGATGTCAAGGCCGCAGGGCAGGACAGCGAGAGGGTGGGCATAAATGTGAGAGAAGCATAGAGAGATGGAGATGAAGGGGGGATGGAGGGGGGATGGAGAGACAAAGAGACAGACAGACAGACAGACAGACAAAGAAACAAAGAAACAACGAAACAAAGGAACAACGAAACAAAGGAACAACGAAGCAACGGAACAACGGAACAACGGAACAATGGAACAACGGAACGACGAAACAAAAACAGACAAAGACACAGGGAGAAGGCTGGTGAAGGTCGAAGGCAAGACCATCTCGAAGATGTAAAACGTACACCTGCCCGGAGCCACAGGCACCGGGAAGAGACCATCGGCACAGCCGGCGCAGAGCTCGGCGGACGAGCGCAAGGGAGCCAGCACTCGGCCCGGGGCGCAGCGCCAGGCCACTGGGCTGGCATCGCAAAGGATCGATCGATCGCTCTGGCAACCGAGCTGCCGGTCAGTGAGGAAGGTCCGGCCAGCATGCGTGATCAGCCACTGGTGGCCGGCTGCCACCGGGGCCGCCTCGGCCAGGCTCAGCCCGGCCGGCAGGCTGACATGTTGCCAGACAAAATGGCCGGGGGCCTGGGCGGATACCCGCCAGAAGGCGCGGCGTGCGGGGGCCACAACATCCAGGTACCCGGTGGGCTGGGTCATATGCATCACCGGAGGCACCATGTGGAGGGAGAGATCCGCCCCATCGCCATGGGTGTCCCCCCTCAGCGGGAGGGCGTGGGCTGGCTGCAGGGCCCCGTCGGCCCCGAGGCCGATGTACACCAGCAGCTGGGTGTCGGTCAAGACCAGGACATCCTGCCGACCGGGGTCCGAAGAGCCGAGCCGGGTGACCGCCATGCCGAGAACGGGCCGGTCGGTGGGAATCACCCGGGGCGGATGGCCCTCACAGAGCCACAGCCAGGAAGTGCCACCAGCGAGGAAGAAGTGCCCCGGCAGGCCGGCCACACCGTGGGTGGTCGGATGGGCGACAGTGTGGCCGAGCTGCCAAGACCCGGCGCGGTATTGAAGGACGGTGGCCCCGGAGCCGAGAGCAAGCAAGAGCCGAGCGCCCGCCTCCGGGCCAGAGGACGAGGCGTCCAGCAGCTGGACCGGACCCCGGTCCGGGGGGAAGACGAAGGAGGATCCCCAAGTGGGAGTGGCCAGGCCGACGGCCGAGCCGTCCTGCCATGCAACAATCAACTCGGCCTGGCCGGGCGACGCCGGGATGGCGCGAATGGAGGCGGCCTCGGGGATGCCCTTGAGGGGGATTTCATGTTGCAGGGTGTCCTCGTGAGCAAAGAGCACGCCGAGGCGCGGCGAAGGGGGCTGCTGTGGCTCGTGCACGGTGCAGTGGCTATGGCTCAGGGAGTATTGCACATAGCCCAAGTGCGGATGGATGGGCCCAAAGTGCGGGACGATGGCCGCCGGGCCGGTGGCCATCGGGGCCTCCAGGAGCAGGAGACCCGGGGGCCGAACCGCGGCGGCCAGCGACCCGATGAGCACCAGCGCCGCCAGAAGAAGGCGGGCCAGTGCCCGGGCTGGAGGAGACACCATGGGCGTCGGGTGTGGCGGTGGTGGCGGGATGTCCTAATGTGGAGGGCCG